TTAATCTTTAGAAGCTTGGTTATAATGTAACTTGGGGTTGAATGTGATGGTTGACCTTTGACCTTCTTACACCTGGACATTTGTACACTTCCCTGAGTTTGGGGAATTTTCTGATAGTTCTCTTTGAATAGGCTTTCTATTCTTGGCATTCTTTTTTTTTTAAGAATTTTTTTAATATTTTTTTTTTTTTAGTTTTTTAGTTTTCGGCGGACACAACGTCTTTGTTTGTTTGTGGTGCTGAGGATCGAACCCGGGCCGCACGCATGCCAGGCGAGCGCGCTACTGCTTGAGCCATGTCCCCAGCCCCATATTCTTGGCATTCTTGAGTCCTCTTGAACCCCAGTAACTTGAATATTGTTTTCATTTAATGCTATCCTATAAGCTGTGTTCATTCTTCTTTTTCTCTCTTGATTGATTATATTCAAATAGCCTGTTTTGAGTTCACTGACTCTTTGCTTTAATTGGTTTGCTAGTGATTTTATCATTGATGCCTTCTATCACATTTTTCATTCTATTTATTGTAGTTTTCAGCTCCAGGATATTTAATTTTTAAAAATATTTTTCTTTAGTTGTAGATGGACACAATGACTTTATTTTATTTATTTTTATGTGGTACCAAGGATTGAATCCAGTGCCTCAGATGTGCTAGGCGAGTGCTCTACCACTAAGCCACACCCCCAGCTCTTTTTTTTTTTAATATTTCAACATATTTATTAAGTTTCTCTGATAAATTACTGAATTGTTTCTTTGTATTTTCTTGAAGTTGGCTGAGTTTTCTTACAATATCTATTTTAGTTTTATCTAAGGGATCATACATAGTCACTGGGGTGGTTTCTGGTGCCTTATTTTGTTCATTGTATGTGCGTTTGTGGAGGGGTCAAGGTTCCTTGAAAGTTTTTGTTGTATACAGCACTATCTCTATGTTGAAAGTTCAGATATTTAGTCTAATCTTTGTAATTGGTCTGTTTGTATACCTCCTTCTAGACTATCTAAGCAGGCTCTATGTTATTTTTTACTGAGATTGTGGTTACTACCATTGTTTTAGCACTAGAGGGCACCTGAAGCACAAGTTTGTTCCAGATTCACAATGGGTGTGTTATTTAAGGGTGAACTAGGGGAGTACTTTAAAAAGGTAGTCCATCCCTGCTGGTCCTGAAAGTCTCCATTTGGGATCAGGGTGGTCTCAGATATACACCAAATTGTTGGACCATGGTCGGGCACAGGGCCTCACCATGTCTGGCCTTTAACTCTGAAGCCACAACTTAACCTACTTTCCTCTTCTTCGGTCCAAACAGTGACTGTGTTGTGCTGCCTGGGGTTAGGGCAAGGACAGGGGAGGCAATCTTGTAGCTATCGTGGCTACTGTGAGGTTGGATCTCATCCAGAGTTCACAGTTCATTAAGACAGGTGCATCCTATATGCAGGACGAAGTCCCACACTGCTGTGGCCTGCTAGGTGCTGTGGTCTGTGGTCCAATACTACCATAGTGGATTTGATGTTTTATGGTCCAAAATTAGGCTGTGCCACTCAGTCTACAGTTCTACCTGGAAATGGAGTAGATTTAGAGGTTCTGTTTGTGGACTTTGCCTGGAAATAGAGGCCATTGGATTCTTTCTAGTGTTGAGTTTCACCATGCAGACCCACTACTGAGTTCTAAGACATAGTCCTATGCTTATTTCCCTGTCCTACCCTCTAGCAGATGAAGTCTGTCTCCATCCTCTATTGCTTGAGGTTGAGGTATGTGCCTGAACACAACTCTGTTTGCAGGTTTCTTCCTGACTCCAAGGCAGTCCAGAAGCTCCATCCACAGGCACTGGTCTAGGACTAGGGGCAATGGGGCACTGCTTACCCCTGGATTTCAGATCATGGTCCAGACACTAGTCTAAGCACTTTAAGAGAGAGAGAGAGAATTTTTAATTAATCATCATAATTATCATCATAATAATCCTATTTACAGATGAAGAAACAGACATGATTCTTAAGTAGTAGAATTAAGAATTGAGGCAATGTGAACTTTATTTATATTGATGTGTATAACGTATGAATTTATTTTGAGGGTCATAAATTATGCACTTATATAAATACAAATCAATAGAAATCAAGTCAAAGAATATACATGAGCAATTTACAGAAAAGGAAATGTAAAATATTAATATGATATTCAGTCTCTTTAATTGGGAAATGAGACTTAGGAGAAATGCCATCTCGTTTTCATTAAGTTGACATAAGTTAATAAGTCTGACGCCAAGTATTGGTGACAAAGTGAGGCAACAGGAATTGTCACACACTGCCAATGTGAGTAAAAATTCCTATAGTTACTTTGAAGAGTAATTTGGGAATTCCTTAGAAAAGCTCATATGTGCAAGTGATATATCTAATATAACAGTATTGTTTGCATGGCAAAAAATTAGAGCAATTCAGTGAAAAAGAGAAATTGGAAAACTAGCACTGTTCATACCCTAGAAAAACAACAACAATTTAAATGAGTCAACTGGAGTTACCTGTATCAGCATGAATAGATCTCAAAAATATTTGATAGTGATATGACAGAATCATAGAATATTTTTTAAGAAACTATCAAATAGTGTGTATAGTGATATCTTATGGTTTTAGCTTTAAATTTTCCTAATGAAATGATCAATGTAGAACATCTTTTCGTGTATATATGTGCCTTCCATATTTACTCCTAGATGAAGTGTTCATTCATATCTTTCATACAATTTGGGGGTTTTTGGGGGGGGTGGAATTCTATATTCTTGTTACACTTTATTAGCTATGTGATTGGAGATTTTTTTCTTTTCAGTTTGTAGCTTGTACATTTAATTTCTCAACAATATTTCAAAGGATAGAAATTTTTAACTTTGATAAAATCTAATTTTTCTGTTATGGGTGGTATTTTTTATATCATATATTTTTATCTAAAGGTCATACAGATTACTTTTTAGGTTTTCTTTTAGTACTCTTAATTTGAGATTTTACATTTAGGTCAATAATCAGTTCATAGTTAACTTTTATACAAAATATACAATATAGATTGCAGCTCAGTTTTAAAATTATCCAGTTTTTTCATCATTATTCATTAAAAAAACTGTTCTTTCTCCACTGAATTGCTTTGAGCTTTTTGTCAAAAATTAGTTGACCACTTATTTGTGGGTCTGTTTCTGGACTGCTCTGTTCCATTTAATATATTTTGATCATAATGTACTATAAATGGTGTTCTTAAAATTTATGGTTTAACTTGGTTGTTAGTATATATTCATCTTACACCCTGCAACCTAACTAAACTTACTTTTGTAATTCTAATAGACTCCACTAAAGTTTTTATATAGACTATCATGTTTCTGCACATAAGGACGGTTTTATACTTTTCTGTTATAGATACTTTTATTTTGTTTTTTTGCCTTATTCCCTGGCCCAACTTGTATGATTTTGAATAGAGATGGGGAAAACAAATACTTTCCATTTTTCCTGTTCTTAAGAGTAAAGCATTTTGTCTTTCACCGTTATGTATGAAGTTAAACATGGAGGTAGAAAGACAAATGAGGGGTAAAAGTTGGGGTAGTTATTAAGAAGACCTTATATTAGGGTTCAGCATCCCTAATCTAAAAATACAAAAATCTGAAATACTCCAGATCTGCAATTTTTGTGTACCAATATTACACCACAGTGAAAAATTCCATACTTGTTTTGAGAGGACAGGTAGGTCTCAGTCAAAATGAAGGCACACTCATGAAAAAGAATGACTTCATGGGCTGGGGTTGTAGCTCAGTGGTAGAGTTCTTGCCTGGCACATGTGAGGCACTTGGTTCAATTCTCAGCACCACATTAAAAAAATAAAAGGTATTGTGTCCATCTACAACTAAAAAATATTAAAAATTAAAAAAAAAAAGAATGACTTTTGTTGGTAAATGGATGGATCTGGAGATTGTCATGCTAAGTGAAATAAGCCAATCCCCAAAACTAAAGGCTGAATTTTCTCTGTGATAAGTGGATGCTAATACACAATAAGGGGTGTGGGGAGAAGAATAGAAGTTTATTAGATTAGATAAAGGGGAATGAAGGGAAGGGAGGGAGGATGGAAATAGGAAAGACAGTAGAATGAATAGGATATAACTTTGCTATGTTCATAGATGAATATGCAACCAGTATAATTT